AAAAAAAAATACCAAACTTATTTAACATATTAAAAAATAAAATAAAATGCAATCTCAAATAAATCTTTAATACTGAGTTTAGCATTCTATTCTAGTTTATCATTGACAAAGGGAAGAAACTAAATCCCCCTAAAAATGAGTACAATTTACATCATAGGATACCCAATTCAAATAACTAATAACACTACATGCAAAGTTACAAAAGAAGAAGAAAAATCTAAATACAGAAAAAAAAATACAAAAACAACTGCATCCCGAACTACTAAACCATGGTAGAAAAAAGAGAATGAAACAACAATATAAATCTATATGCCAAACAATGAATCAGGTACCTCAGGTAGGTTCAGCAAAGCCTTCAGGTGGTGGCTGTACATACTTCCCCAGAGATTTTTGCCTTGTCCTACTCCTTATTCGCCGAATCTTATCCTTGCTTTGTTGCCTCCTCTTCTCCTTCAGCTGGTGTCGCGCGCTCCGTTCCCTTTCGTAGACGCCCTGCCAAAAGACCTCACCAGTTAACAGCCACAACCTTCGTCGATTGGGGCGGTCAGAGTCGAATTCTTCAGCCAAGTCCTCATCCATGCTCTTCAGAGTGGAGAATGTGAACCATTTGATCCAAATTTTACCTCTTCTTCTACTGAGTTGATGCTGCTCATGCATTGCTCCGGTCTCGGGGTCCACATTTATGATGTGGCGAGCGCTGTGGTATGCCCACAAGTTGACGAGTAGCTCGAGCACACGAGAGTAGCAGTGTCTGTCCTGTTTAACATATGCGAGTGTTTTAATATTTTTGTATGATTTGTAAACAATAATTATTGGGAGTTGAGGTTGAGTGATTAAATGAGGGATTATGTTAAGTATATTGAGATTCATTAATGTGTTAAATAATGTTATGTTAGACAGTCTATATACTAATGCATGAAAAAAATATCAACAAAATAAAAGATTTAACTTGATGAGTAAAGGTACAACTAATAGTATATTAATGACTTACAATTCTTTTTTCATCTATAATATGGGTGTCGACCTTAACAATCTCCCCTTCAACCGACTTTGATAGCCACGAATCCTCATAACAACTAATATGAGAGTTAATGGTTTCACTCGGCATAAAATGCAAATGAGTTTTATGGCTTGTGTGGGTCTGATGGAACATGATTGTGTAAAAGAAACTAGTGTTTTAGACATACACAAGGAAGGACTAAAAATTATTATGAAAGAGATATATA